TCCCTGCTGAAACACAGATGGTGATCTGGACAGAAGACACTACCACCAACAACGGAGGCACCGATCCATTCCAAGATGTCCGCCATTGGATGTGAAATTCAAAGGGGAGCCAACACGCTTGGGGGTTTTCCTAACCCAAGTCCTCAGCTACATGGAGGAATATGGGCGTGACATCCCCAGCGACAAAGCCTGCATCTGGATCGTGCAATCTGCTCTGGACGGACCGGCTGCAGATTGGGTGATGAACTTGCACGACTCCAATGCCCCAAAGCTCAACAACTTCAACCGTTTCATGTCCTCTCTGAGAAGGCAATTTGAAGACCCCCTGGCTGATCACAAAGCCCACGAAAGGATAAAAACAATGAGGCAAGGCAAATGCCCAGTGGCCGAATATACGCAAGAATTCCGGGCTATTGCCAGCAAACTGAACTGGCCAGAAGACATCCTCCTTAGCCATTTCAAAGATGGACTAAATTATGACCTATATGACGCTTGCCTGCCCCGAGGGGACCCACACCAACTTGAGGAATGGTACGTCTTGGCAGAGGAAGCAGAGATCGACATATTGAAGAGACACCGCCGAGGAAAATGGAGCCGCTCCCCGCCTGAGTTGACACATGAACCAGTAAAACCATTGGCTACAGCCAAGAAGCAAATGGGGTGTTTCAAGTGTGGAAGAGAAGGGCATCAAGCTGTAGAATGCCGCTCCAAAGCCCCCCAGCACAACCCAGACAGATCCCCGATCAGCAAATCCGGAAAGTCTCCAGCTAAGCCAAAAAAAACTGCCATGAGAATGATGGAGATTGTGGAACCCCCCCACCTCTGCTCATTAGGAGGAAAGAACTCCAGCCTACACCGCAGGGCCGGTGGATGCCTCAGACGACAGCTCGGAGGGCGAACCCCTGGTAAATGGACGCATCGCACCCATCCTCAAGACAGCGACTATATTAATTCCCCCCATGCCCGAAGCCATGAAGGTGAAAGTCTTAATAGACTCTGGCTGCACCGACTGCCTCATTAGCCCGACGCTAGTGGGGAATCTGGGCATTCCATCAAGGAGACTGGAACAACCAATCTCATTTGGCCAGTTAGATGGGTCCATAGCAGGGAGGGGGTGCCAGCTACCCTAGCCACTTTACCAATACACCTCTCCCTGGGCAAACATGAGGAGGACCTAACGTTTGTGGTGACCCCAGGCATGGAATGCCCAATGATCCTAGGGATGGAATGGTTAAAAAAATGGAAACCCTGGGTGAATTGGAGGACGACAGAAATCAAATTCCTGAAGGGGGACACTATGGACTTAAAATTCCAAGGGGGGCTACCAGAATCAAGAACAGAAAAAGCATCCATGGGACAGGAAAAGGGATTACCAGAAATACCAGAGGAATACAGAGACCTTGCTGAAGTTTTCTGTGAGGAGAGGGCGAATGAGCTCCCCCCCCCCTCCGACCCACAGACTGTGCCATTGAATTCAAACCTGGGGCAAAATTCCCGAAGCCCAGATTATACTCCATGAGCCCAAAGGAGAAGGAGGAAATGGAGAGATTCATTAAAAAAAACCTAGAAAGGGGGTTCATTGAACCAGCCAAGCCTAAAGTGGCTGCCCCGGTCCTCTTTAGAGAGAAGAAGGATGGCTCTTTACGCTTATGCGTGGATTATAGGGCCCTGAATACGATCAGTGAAAGCAACCTATACCCTCTGCCTCTCATGAAAGACATGCTGTCACACCTCTCGAAAGGGAAATTTTTTTCTAAACTAGACCTAAGGGAAGCTTACTATCGCGTGAGAATTAAGGAAGGGGATGAATGGAAGACCGCATTTAACTGCCCCATGGGGTGTTATCAATTCAAAGTCTTGCCATTTGGATTACAAGGGGCCCCCGCAGTATTTATGCAATTAATCAATGACGTTCTAAGGGAGCACCTGTTTAAGGGGGTTCTTGTTTACTTAGACGACATTCTTATCTTCATTGAAACAAAAGAGGAACATGTCAACCTAGTCAGAGTGGTTTTAAAGAAACTGCGAGCCACCCACCTATATGCCAAACTCTCGAAATGCGAATTCCACCAGGAAAGGATAGACTACCTAGGTTATTGCATATCCCCACAGGGCATTGAAATGGACCCAGAGAAGGTCAGAGCAGTATTAGATTGGGCACCACCCCGCACAAGAAAGCATCTATAAAGTTTCCTGGCCTTTGCAAACTTTTACCGCCAATTCATCCCCTCATTTGCCCAGATAGCCCTGCCCCTCACTAACTTACTAAAATGAAAGGAGCAGCCTCAGTAAAACCTAGCCAGCCACTAACATGGACAATGGAGTGCCAAGCAGCGTTTGAGAGATTAAAGAGACTTTTTTCTGCCGAACCAGTACTGAGACATGGATAAGCCCTTCGTAATACAGGCAGATGCAAGTGATGTGGCAGTGGGGGCTGTTCTATTACAAGAAAATGATGAAGGGATATTGCAACCCTGTGCATATACATCCAAGAAACTCACGGAAACAGAACAGCGCTGGCCCGTTGGGAGAAAGAAGCATACGGGATACGTTGGTCATTACTCACCTGGTGACAGTTCCTGGAAGGCAACAAAATCTCCTTCCAGTGTGGACTGATAACAAAAATTTGGAAGCCCTGAAAGCGCCCAGGAAGCTCAATCCCAAGCAAGGCCGCTGGTCCCAGCATTTTCGCCAGTTCCAATTTAAGCTCAAACATTTACCTGGGAGAAAGAACTTCCCCAATATAACAGCATGCGAGCCACAGATTCTAAACCAATGACGGCAGAGTCACAACTGGCAGCACCAGTAACCACCAGAACCCAAGCTAAATTAAAATCACAACCGGACAGCCAAACTGGAATTGAATTCTGGAAAAGTTTGGAAACAGATGAATGGTTCCAGAAAAACAAAAATGTGTGCACAATGAGAGATGGGTTGCCTTGGGTGGGGGAAAAGTTATATATACCAACAACCCAAAGAGTCACATTCATGCAACTTTGCCAAGACACAAAATCAGCAGGGCATTTTGGATTTGTAAAAACTTTACACTTAATTAAACAGCAATTTTGGTGGCCATCCATAAAAAAGGACATAGAAAGCTACATGGCCAGCTGCCCAAAATGTGCAACTGCAAAGAGGTTGCAAGGGAAATAGCCATGGATTTTATAGTGGAATTGCCAGAAACCAATGGGAATACTGTTGTCTGGACGGTCACGGACTTGTTTTCCAAACAGGTGCACTTTATCCCTTGCCAAAAGATTCTCACTGCAAAAGCCTTAGCGAAACTTTTCGTCCAGCACATTTACAGACTGCATGGGGCACCCCAACGCATCAACTATGATAGGAGAGTGCAATTTACATCTGTATTTTGGAAGGAATTTTTATCCCTTTTAGGAACCACTCAGGGACTGACATCTAGCCATCACCCACAAGGGGACGGACAAACAGAACGTTGTCACTCAGTACTTGAGCAATATTTAAGATGTTTTCTTAATTTCCAACAGACCGATTGGGTGGACTTACTCCCTTTTGCAGAAGTTGCCTACAATAATGCAGTCCACTCCAGCACTCCTTTTCAAATAGCCACTGGTCAAAGTTTCAACCCCATGCCAGAATTAACCCCAAACGAACCAACGATCCCATCACTGAAAGAATGGATGGAACAATTACAAAACACCTGGCCAATAGTTAGAAAAGCACTAGATGAAGCTAGGCAGGCATACAAAGCACAAGCCAATAAAAAAAGGGTTGAGCCTACACCATTCATTATAGGAGAAATGGTGTACTTATCTACAAAATACCTAAAGTCCTGTAAAAAACTTGGACCAAAATATATAGAGCCTTTTCCAATTAAAAGAATCATAAACCCAGTAACAGTAGAATTAGAATTACCCAAAAATCTCAGGCAAATACACCCAATTTTTCATTGCAGCTTGCTGAAAAGAGAGCGTCAGTCATCTTTACGGCCAAAAATCCCACCACCACCACCTCCAATCATGGTGGAGGGCGAACAACACTTCGAAATAAAGGAAATCCTTGACTCTAGGAGATATCATGGAGCGACTCAGTACCTAGTTGCCTGGAAAGTAATAATGAGACCAATCTGTGTGAACAGTTAAAAACAGTAAAGAATGATGACTTTTATTTGGCAGATATTTTCAAGAGATTTCATGATGTCAATTTGCAGCTTCAAGGAGCTAATAAAACTCTTATAGGTTGCCAAAGTATTGTGTCATTATTTATTGACAAACTTGAACTACTTTGTTATAATCTATTGAAAAGAGAATTTCATCAGTTTCCTGAATTATCATCTATAAAAGATGATGTAACTCCAGAGGATATTGACAGATTCAGTAGCCTCCTCAACGAACTTAAATTGGACATGGAAAAACGATTTGAAGATATTTTGAAACTGAAGGTGTATGACTGGATGAAAAATCCTTTTACCGCAAATATTGAAGAGGCTGATACAACTTGCCAAGAACTGTTAGAAATTAGATATGATGAAGAAAGTAAACATAAATTCGATAGTGGTGGATATGAAAACCTATGGCAAGTAAAAAAATGCCTGTCTTATATCCAAATATGTGGAAAATGATATTCAGTTTATTGATACCTTTCCCTACCTCATATCTTGTGGAATCAGGCTTTAGTGCTGTTAATCATATTATGACCAAAGAAAGAAACCGCCTGAATATTTCTGAAAGAGGAGACCTTCGTTTGTTCCTTACAAAAATTGAGCCAGATATCCAGTATTTAGTTTCGCAGCATCAGCCTCAGGGATCTCATTAATAATTTAATTAATTAAATGTAATTTCATCAGACTTCATGCTTCTATGTATGCCAAATATAAATAAAAAGATAGATTTAACTACAGTTAAGTTGTTTTATAAAGATTTATTCTGCCAAACTTAGCAAAAGTACGACATAAAGTATTTGGTAAGTAATTATTATTATATGCTTTAACTTGCTGTTACTCTGCTTTACAAATTTTATAAAGTAAAGTTACTTCCCTACTTTATAAATCGCCATTACTGTGGAACCGGTGGGCGGTTGGAAATTTTTACTACTAACAGAGATACAAAAGTGGGCAGTAGGTATAAAAAGGTTGACTACCCCTGATCATGACAATCACTCAGATGTTTTGGCAAACTATTAAATGAATGCAAATGCATACTGAAAATCTGGGATGATGGCAGGTCATTAGTCATGGCTTTTTTCCCTTTTTGTACAGAGGAAGAATGAGGACAATGAAGACAAAGCAATGATTAAATGATGTTTTTGCATCTCTTATCAATAAAGCGAAGAATGGACACTTTTTGTTGACTTTTGACTTTTCTTGTTTCTGCCATGTTTTCCATGATTTCATGTTAGCAAAAATGAAGATGATTGCGAGTTGGATCCAAACTGTTTTGTGAGGAATCGGGGGATGGTGGAAACACTAGTGGTGTGGAAGTGATCTGAATGATCTGTAAAAAGAAAGGAGAATTGAGGAAAAAGCAAATTCTTTCTAAGAAATAATACAGGAAATCGTTCTGCTTAATCCTAATTAACAGGACTAACATCAACATCTGAAGAAGGCTTTGAAGTTCTCCTAGGAGAAGACAGATGTTAGGAAGAGGGCACTCTATCGAGTGCGTTACAGACATCATCGATTCTCCTTTCTGCATACCATATTAGGGAAAAAAATGGCTGATTTAAGATAAGAACAACTCTGAGTGGTGCTTGGTGCTCTCTCAGTTTGGTTGCTCTCTTGCAGACATCTCATTACCCAAACTATGTAACCTCATCAGTGCTTGTAAGGAGTAGTGTTTGTTCTCAGTTTATGTTCTAGTGCACGGGTGTCAATCTTGCCGCGTCACGTGACGTGTTGCAACATATTGCCACCACATGATGCAACTGGCCCGCGGGCTGGCAGTTTGACACCCCTGTTCTAGTGGCTTGCCCTGTCCATGTTGGGGGGAATGGTCATGGGGATTCTTTTGTTTGGCTGTTTACTGTTAGCTTGTTTGTAAGTTCTTTGGTTGTGGTATTATTTACTTCTTGATTGTTGGTCTGATGTTAATCTTGAAGTTAATCCTATGCTCAGATGGGTGCTGGTGGGGTGCTGGTGGGGGGGTGGTATTTTTGTTCCTTTTGTGGCTTATTGATTGTCTCTTTTGTACAGTATGTAGATATTGTTTATGTCTATATATCTATTAATGACTAATTTGTGTGCCAGGCTTCTAAAAAGTCTGTATTAAATTAAAGAGCATGTCTGAATGTTACTTGGTGTTCATAGATGCATTCTACCAGTCTTTTGCTTGTTTGTCCTACATAGAGGCTGTTGCAGTTATTACACTGTATGTTGTCGGATGACTCCTGTTTTTTCTTCTGAGGCTGCTGGGTCTTTCTGTTTATGTAGGATGTTTTGGAAGGCTTTAGTTGGCTTATGTGCTACCCTGATTCCATATGGTTGGTGGTTTCTGAGATGTTTTTGATGTATGGCAGTGTTATTCTTGTGTCAGAAGATATGATGAAAACTCTTTAACTTCACAATATATGGACAGACTTAACCATAGTTTTCAGTTTGGAAACTGTGACCATCTTTTGTTGTTGTTGTTAGTTGCAAAGTTGTGTCCAACCCATTGCGACCCCATGGACAACGTTCCTCCAGGCCTTCCTGTCCTCTATCATCTCCTGGAGTGCATTTAAGGTCACGCCTACTGCTTCAGTGACTCCATCCAGCCACTTCATTCTCTGTCATTCCCTTCTTCTATTGCCCTCAATCTTTCCCAGCATTAGGCCCTTCTCCAGTGAGTCCTTCCTTCTCATTAGGTGGCCAAAGTACTTGAGTTTCAACTTCAGGATCTGGCCTTCTAAAGAGCAATCAGGGTTGATCTCCTCTAGGACTGACCGGTTTGATCGCCTGGCAGTCCAGGGGACTCACAGAAGTCTTCTCCAGCACCATAGTTCAAAGGCCTCAATTCTTTGGCACTCAGCCTTTCTTATGGTCCAACTTTCACAGCCATACATTGCACCTGGGAAAACCATGGCCTTGACTATACGTACTTTTGTTGGCAGGGTGATGTCTCTGCTTTTTAGTATGCGGTCTAGATTTGCCATAGCTTTCCTCCCCAGGAGCAAGCGTCTTTTAATTTCTTGGCTGCAGTCCCCATCTGTGGTGATCTTGGAGCCCAGGAAGATAAAATCTGTCACTACCTCCATTTCTTCCCCATCTATTTGCCAGGAGAGGGCCGGATGCCATGATCTTGGTTTTCTTAATGTTGAGTTTCAAACCAACTTTTGCACTCTCCTTCTTCACCCGCATCAAGAGGCTCTTTGTTCCTCTTCACTTTCTGCCATTAGAGTGGTACCATCTGCATATCTTAGGTTGTTGATATTTCTCTTGGCAATCTTAATTCCAACTTTTGATTCATCTAGCCCTGCCTTTCTCATGATGTGCTCTGCACATAAGTTAAATAGGCAGGGTGACCAAGTCAAGTCCAAAAATGCTAGAGAATTTCCAGAAACCTTTCTCTTTCTCATTTATATTCTATTTCTTTGTTTGTGTGTATATGTATATGTATGTATCTGCAAATGAACAGTTTTGGCAATCTGCTGCTTCCTCCAGATTTACCCACAAGCATTTCAGGGAATGTCAACCAAATTCCTCCACTAAAATAATGTAGGAGATGACCAGACTGTGCCCGAGAGAGGAGTCAAGTATGTCATCAGTTTGGAGTCCTTTGCACCCACAAAAAATCTAAATCCAGCCTTTCTTGAATTCTGTTGACTCTTATCTATCAGCAATTTGCCTTGATCATTAGTAGTTCAGATTCTTGTTTAAAGATATCATGGAATAAACTTGTAGTCATTTGAACAACTCTGGTTCCTGATTTCTTATGCCTGACAAATAAAATACTAACAGTTAGGCACTCATTTTGAATTTAGCTTTTATTTCAAAGTAGCAACTTACTATTCATTCAGGATTGCATTAAGATATAGGAGATTGTGCCATATTGAGAACAAGAAATCCCGTGATATCAAATCAAATTTAGATCAGTTAGTTGTACATAGGTCAGTTTGGATTGATGTGCTTGATTCTTCCAGTTTGAAGCTATGATCATTTTTCTTAATAATGATGTTTATACTAGAACTTCAGCATGTTTGTTGGCAATATTTACCTAAGCATATAAAGCATGTATACAACAAAGGTTTGTATAATTTTAGGTATGTTGTTTGATTGCTAAAATGAAATAGTTGTTATTGTAGATGACACAAATGAAGAGTTGTACAGTATAAGTAACAAGATACAAAGTATGCATCAAACGTTCATGGGCATCTACGTATGTGACATCTCATGATCCTGCAAATCATGAATGGTGTACCTCTGTGATAACCATGATCCACATAATACCAGTTATTTTATGATACACCAGACATGTCAAACACAAGGCCCACTAGTGGATGGCCCATGGAAACAGTGAGGGAACAGCCCCCGCTGCCTTTTGCTGTACAGTTTTGTGGTTGCCATTTATGCTGAAAGAACCAGTGTTAGCTCCATGAGGCCGCTGGAAACAGCAAGGCACCATGTCGGCCCCGCCCCCTGCATGCTGGGAAGGTGCATGCACCATTGGAAGTGGCCAGCAAATGGCCCTGGCCTACTTCACATATCCCTGGGCTCTGTGGGAGGGGTTTTGACAGGCAGCGGGGCATCACAGCATCGAGAGGCTGCTGACATGAATCTTTACAATGCTGCCTAGCCCCCAGCCTGCCCAGTTTCAGCAGACAGCAAGGTGCAAAGCTGGTGAGCTTCGCAGCTCAACTTCTCCCCCAATGGAGATAGCTCATATGGTATTGTTATTACAAATATAGGGTACACTTAAGACTGACTCATAATGAATAGCTGACTAGTGACTAGTTTTAGGCCATTCTTGTTGCGCTTATCATGCCTTGAGCTACTTTTATCTGTTACATTAGGATGCCTCTCAAGAATCAAAATGAATACCACAAGGGCTCCAACTAAGATACCAAATGATATGGCAGCAGATGTTTATGCAAAGCATTGTGCAGTGAAAGGTTGACACAATATGAACTGAATTTCATAAAGAATATAAGTTGTTTCTGGACATAATTCTAATCCTTTGTCTATTTGCCACTAAGTACAAATGTGAGATTAGTTACATGTTTCTGTGCAAGTTATACTTGTAAGTTTTTTCTTCCTTCATCCAGACTACAAAACAAATTAGAGGGAAGAAGGGGATGCTTGTACTTATAAGACATTCAGATCCAAACCTTTAGCGCAGTACAATAAAACTGAAAAGTAGACATATAACAGAATAAAATTCCCTAAAATAGATTAATATAGATAACAGATAACAAAACTTCAGTTGCAGGTAGGACAGAATCCCTGCAGGGTTTGATGCTTCTTTCAAAAAGGGCATCAGCTGCACCAAAGTCCCATCCATGGCTGGCAGCAAAGTATGTTAGCATCAGTTGTGCTACCACCAGTAATGATCCCTTTTATTGCACAACAGAAATAAGGCTGGAAGCAATGCTGTCCTTACACAGCAATTTTGGGCTATGTCTTTGTTTCCCTTCCACCAAATAACACTTGCCGGTCATAACATGGGTGGTCAGATGAGTGTAGGTAGCTACCTAGATTGATTGATGGAGCCCCTATCAAGATATTAAACTAACAGGTTGCAAGTGTGATTTCACTCCTGTCACCTGCCAGTCAAGCTGCTTTCTGTACAGATTACAATTGCTCGTACATCCCAGAGAGTTTCCTACGATTTCAATTCCTTTAGAAACAGCACTGCAAATTAATTTCGGATTATGACAAGTATTCCTTGTTGGTAAGTAACTTAGTACAGTTATTGCTATTATTTTGTCAAAGTCTTAAGCAAGTGACTTTAATCATAATGCTAGATTCTGTCACAGCAGATCCTTCAACAGGTTATTGAATGCAGCTCATTCGAACATTAATAGAATATAGGAAACCATATCTCATTTAAGGTTTTGTTGGCAGGTTACTCATGGAAACAGTGCAGTTTAAGGATAGCTGTCAAACCTACGAAACTAATCTTTCTTCAGTCACAACTTTGGGGGGAGGGAAATGCATTCTTCTGTTCCAGATGGGAGCCAAGGTCAAATCGCTCCTAGAATTGCTGTTGCCTTGGTTTAACTTTTATTTTGTAACCTTTGGGGGGGGACAGTCTTGGTTTCAGATTTTTTTTTTTTTAACCAACAAGACAAAACAGAACAGCCATGTTCTACTTCTTACTAAGAAATACACTTTTGTTTCTGTCTGAAATACACCTTGTTCCATACTATATAATACTCTGTGTCTTCCTTTTCTTTTATGTTATTTGCTGACAGTCCAGGATTTTTCTTATTACTTCTTCTCTGATGGTATATTGTTCGTGCTGATATTATGTAGCCTCTTTGAGGAAAGCAAATGCTCATCTATGGTCTCATCTATCAG